AGAGAGAGAGAGAGAGAGAGAGAGAGAGAGAGAGAGAGAGAGAGAGAGAGAGAGATTTCTTGTGGAAGTTTTAAGTCACTTGCAACACAATAAGGTCATATAAGTGGGAAAGATTAGAAGTGTTACAAGAGAATAACATATACAAAACAGAAGGAGAGACAAAGCTGATAGATATTTGACAGGAAAGATGGGAGCAGTTTGAGGAAGCAAAACAGAATCTTATTACATACAGTAGAAACGATGAAACAAAAGAATCAGACCACTACACCAAACCAAGCATACACACACACTCATAGACAAACTTAGGCAGAGAACAAAGAGAGCGTTTATACACTGCAAAAAACTAGCATGAGCAAGCAAACACTATGAATATTAAGATTAACTATATCGCATCCTTTAAAAACTGTCAACAAAACACTGCCAGGAACATCACGATCAATTGCTTGTTTTCGCTAGCTTTTCAGAACGCAAAGCCTTTTGTCTATGTTCTCTGCCTTGCAACAGGGCGAGACTTACTTCTGGAACTCCCATTCCCTGTTGTCTAGAGGGCACACCTGTCGAGTCCTCAGCCAACGGGTGATGCAGTGGAAATGAAACGCGTGCTGAAACAGGGAAAGAAAAAAATAATCATTTCAATGTGTAATTTAGAATGAAAGGTTGTACTTTTTGACTTACAATCCAAAAATAAATAAGTAAATACGTAAATTTTAAAAAGCAGCAGTTTACAAGGATAAAACTATCACTGAGGGAGAATTTTTAGTTTTTGTTGGAGTTTTACGGCACTTGAGCTTGCAACACAATAAGCGCTGAAGATTAGAAGTATTACAAGAGAGTAACAAACACTAAACAGGAGGCGGAGAAATAATGACGATAGATGTTGGACAGGAAAGAAGAAGCAAACCACACCAGAGCGGGTAATAAAAGTAGTAGCAGCTTACATGGCCAAAATCAACTCCGAAGAAGAAGTTTCAGTATCAGTGTTATGGCACTTGCAATACAGGAAGATTTGAAGAAGTAGAAGAAACAGACTTTCCAAGTAAAGAACCATTCACGGACCTCTTGCCACTACAACATAACTCTTCAAAATTTAATCAAATACACTAATTACTCATACAGTAGAACCCGCTTTAACAATCACCAGTCCAAACAATCACTTTCCACTACCCCCTCCAATTTTTGCTGTACATGATTATAAAGATTAGACCTCTGCAAGAGGTCTAACATGACCAATTCTCTCCTCGACAATAAGTAATCGTCTCCGACAGGTTCACCAGTATAATATACGGACAGAGATTGCTTAGGGCACATTGTTGCCACAACTGATTACAGAGTCTGCCCATAGTCCGAGTCCAGATCTTGATTTATCTTACAGTTATATTGCAAGATTCGTAGACTTTCAATCAACAGTACAAAAGAAAAGGAGACATTTCTCTCTGGCATGCACACTAAAAAAAAAAAAGTTAAAACATCGGAGGGGTTCCAATTAATTGTTTTCTATTCTGGCAAACCATAAGGGGAAACAACTCAGTTTTCACTATTGTTCATCACCGCGTCGTACTTACGTCCCCTCGACGTCTTCAGTTTCAAATCTCCATCTAATAATAATCTTTGCCTTGCTATTTAAAAGAAACCACTTATTCTTCTGATTCCAAAAATTAAACTAAAGTTGCACTCAGTATTCCTCAGAGCATGGTACAGCCGGATTTCCATAATTTTGAACTTTGAAATTCATGAAATTGTGTCTTTCAATACCTATGTATCTTTTTAAAATTACCCAGCACTGCGTCATGGCTTTCCAATCCCATTTGAAAAACATATGAGAATAAACAGTTCATTAAAATGTGGAAATATTATAACAGCAAGTGGCAATCTCCAAAGTTGTTTTTTTTAAATAGGGGAATTAAAAATTTATGAATCAAACTACAAAGCGTGAAAAGAAGAGTTGAATATCCAGTATACAGTAGTCATTGGGAGGGGTCCTTGAACAACACGCAATAACCGTAGCCCAAAAACAAAGCGTTGCACATTGGCAACAAGCAATTGTACATGGATTGTCTATGTTTGTAACATTGCGCATTATTTATGCATTTACCAAGGCGGAATTTATTGTTTCTTTAATATTTTTTAAAAAATTTCGTAGACATGTTTCAAAGAGCAGTGACAGCAATACTGTCATGTTTCAAAGAATGGTGACAGCAATACTGTCGTCAATTAACCGAGACTACAGTGGCGGTAGAAAAAAAGCAATAGATGAGTGCCTAAGCCCTAAACTATAAGCTGCTGTGCTAAAGGCTAAAAATAACATTACATATATATATATATATAAAGCAGTAAGAACTGCCACCAACACACAAAACAAAAAAACATCTGAAAAAGGAAAGTACACACAAACTATATAACACAAAAAAATCAATTATAGTCGCCTAGAGTGATTAGCAGGATAAGTCCTGCTTTAGTAACAAAAATATGAAAACAAAACTTATCAGAGTTAGTAGTTGTAAAATCAGGAACAAAAGCACACAATACCAGATGACCTAGATAAAAGTTGTAATTTTTTTACACATCTGCAAAGCAACCATAACCCTCTCTTTTCCTGTCCTTCCCAAAGAAATACAAATAAATTTATTATCCCACCCCATCCAACTATTTTCAGAAATTCAAAACTTCTGAACACCCCCCTGATCCTCTCTTTCCTTCTCTCCCATCATCATTTTGAGTTGGGCAGCCTTGGCCCAGTCTGTAAAGACCAACCCACGAAACTGTGAATATCTCAGCAGAGAGATAGCAGTCGAAATCATGTTCTCAAATTATTACAACACAGACACCAGCTCTCTCTTTCTCTCTCTCTCTATCCCCCCCCCCCCCCCCCCCAACCTCCTTTCTCTCAAACACACACATAAAAACACACGACACACACACGGATAAGTAGAATGACTACTCACATTGCAGACACCCCATGCCACTGTGCATTCCTCACTCGTGGCTGAGGCTTGGTTAGCCTGACATTCAATGCCTGAAAATAAGAGAAAATGATGCTCAGTAAGCAAGCAGACAGCACAGTTTGAGTTTGAGTTTTTTTAGTTTAGTTTTAGTAGAGGTTTTACGGCGCTCGCAACTGCATAAGGTCATATGAGCGCCAGAAGATTAGAGGTGTTACAAAAGAGTAACAAACATACAGAAAAGGAGGGGAGAAAAGAACGATAGATGTTTGATAGGCTAGAAGAAGCAAACCACACCAGAGCACCCGCCAACCACCCACTAGACTAGAGGTGTTACAAGAGAATAACAAACACACAAAAAAGAAGGAGGACAAGGACAATAGCTGTTGGATAGGACAGAAGGAGCAAACCCCATCACAGCACCCGCGAAACACCCCATAGAGCTTGCCCTCCAAGGCTACCACAAGCCCAAATCAACAGCACAGCACACAATCCCGAGAATTGTCAACAATGATAACAAAGTCCCTGGTGTCTTCAACTCAGCCTATGCCATGCATAGAATGTGTTTCGAAAGAAAATGAGCAAACATCCCAAAAAGATGGCAGTAGATTCATTATAATTGCATTTACAAAGAACTTTTAAGGACTGTTTTTTACAACACAACACAAATACATAATCATTATAAGAAGAAGAAAAAGAATGAGGATTTACATATAGCACCTAATCCATAGAAGGCTCTATAAGCACTGTGCTATGCAAAAACATCACTCAATTGACAATTCAAAGAACAGTTTTAGTTTTAGTAGAGGTTTTACGGCGCTCGCAACTGCATAAGGCCATATGAGCGCCAGAAGATTAAAGGGTGTTACAAGAGAGTAAGTAACAAACATAAAAAAGAAGGGGAGATAAGGACGATAGATCTTTTACAGGAAAGAAGAAGCAGACCACACCAGAGCACCCGCCAACCACCCACATTCAAAGAACAGAATATGCACATTGTGACAATGATGTGTGTGACACACACACACACTCGCACACATTCTCACATATCAAATTTACTTGTAGATCATTGTGTTAAACAAATATTTCTTTCGACTTTTCTGATGTTACGGTACACATTTCTTTTGGGAGGGAATTCCAAATTTTTGGAGCTACAGAAGAAAAAGCTCTTTTCCATCTAACCTGCTAGACTTAATTGTGGGCGCTCTAATGAAATTCTCATCCGCTGATCTCCAATGTCTTGAGAGTACATATATGACTCAAGAAGGTCTTTAAGATAATGTGGCGCTTTGCTGTTTATGCATTTTATGACATAAAACAGCAATTCCAGAATAAAATATGTGAGGCGGCGTGGTGGAATCAGGCTCTCGTCAAACATCTTTCATGCCAATGAAAGAACTCATTTCTGTATGGATTTTTCTGAAAAACGTTGACTAAAGGCACAAAAAATGTAAATTTTCAGTTACCACGGACTCTCACGCTAAGAAAATAACTAATCTTCGGTGGCCATTTTCTCACTAATCTTACCTCTGAAAACAGGTGACCCCCACCCCCTTCATTTGCAAATATCTCGACTTGTATTCAAGATAAATGGATATTTTTTCACCCAAATAAAGACAAATAAACAAGCTTTAAGATGATACCAATAACTCTACATGCCCAAAAATTGACGAGAGCCTGATTCCACCACACTGGCTCACATATGCACTTACACAGATCCATGATGTGATTCCGGCAAATGGCACAGTTGTCCACAACGATATCTGCAAAGAGTACGCAAAAGGGAATAGTATAAATAGTAGCAAAGAAGACCACAGAGAAATTATCAGCCGGACAGACAATAGGAGTTCTACTTTTGTGTCAGTATTAACTTCATCATTCATTATTGCCGTTATTATTATTATTGCTAATATTCTAAAATGGCAAAAGAGCAAAATAAATCAAAACGTTGGCTAGCATCGTTTTCTAGGGTTGTTTTAGTAAGCTTTTTCCGGCACTTGCAAGACAATTAGGACATATGAGAGTCAAAGATTAGAGATGTTGAAAGAGATACCAAAAAAAAAAAAGGGAAGCGATCAATACAATATTGACGTTTGATAGGAAAAGAAGGAGAAGAATGAGCAAACCACACTAGAGTACCTGCCAACCACACACTAACTAACATCAAGATTTTCCTCAATAAAATAAAAATTAAGCAATCATCCGACAACTCTTTCACTAGAAAATCGTTTAACTTATGACTGAAGAGTACTCCAGGCACAGAAAGGGCAGAAGCAGGGTCCAAACTACAGGGTATGGCTACAGAGGACCTGAGAGGATAAGTATTCATTCTGTTTGACAAGCATCACTCCTAGACAATGAAACAATAGAAAGGAGTATTATCACATTCTGAGCATATTTCCGAAAGAACACCTATACTCCAGAACAGGGCGGCCATTTCGTTACTGGAATATAAACGGTTTGAACGGATAGCATTAAAAATTTTTGAAGCAATGTTTATTAGGCCAGGACGAGTTGGACAAGCAATAAAGAAACCTGTTTAGAGAATAAGATGAGAAAGTCCTGTGCACATCTGATATCCTGTTTAAGTTACTCAGAATACGGGAATGAGAAGAGCTGCGCTTAAAAGATGTTTTTTTTACAAATGTTGTGTTAATCCATTTTTTGAGTAGAGAGAAGCACATCAACACAAAGTGGTTATTTAACTATTAAAAAATAAAACCTATAGAGACAAAACAAAACCCCACCCGTATAAAGTGTTGTAAATCATCTATAGTAAAGAATACACAACACTTAAGAAAACAGATGACTTACCCCAAGCCCATAATGCTACTGCATTCCACTGAAATGTACGAAGAAAGGAAAAATTATGATTACATTACAATGTAAGGTGACATATTGATGAAGACTAAAAGAAAACATAATTTGATCCATCCCCAAATACCGTTATTTGATCTCTTTTATTTTATTTGCACAAATCTCAGTAATGGCTTAAAGACTATAACAGCCCATTGAAGGGGCTAAAACATAGCTGCCAATGATTTGGGTTCGATTCATCAGATTTGTCTTCACTGAATCAAGATTTTCCCCGTAAACTTGAAAAATAAAAGGTTGTAAAAAAGGGGCTCAAAGACCTAATATTATAAGTGCATTGAACTGTAATTCATTTCAAATTCTCTGTCCTAGGGCGGAGATTTTTAGCAGTGAACTGAAGTAGATATCTTTTACATGGTTTGTTTCTGCTGAAATCAACTTTATTAGCAGCTGGGTGAACTGATGCAACATTCTACACCCTACATGATTGAGTCAATAACATGCCTACCTGACTGAGTCAACCAAATGCACACCTTTTTTTTTTTGCCTGACTTTCTTTTAATGCCTTTGCATCACTTAAACTACCATATCGTCACATGGCCTTTAGGATGCATGCGCAGAGATATAAGATGAAAATAGACCTAAGAGTTGAATTCTGCCCCAAAAAATATTTCTTTGTGAGCAAATAAGCGAATAAATGAATCACTTGTTATATAGGCGGGCAGAAGTTGCTTGGTACACAGCAAAGACTCAATATTTGCTGCTTGTTTGTCACGCTAGGAAAGAGCCGGCAAGCTGAGCTTGAGCTGGTGGCACTAATCTTGACTCACTAGCTCTTTTGTTTTTATGACTTCCAAATCTCACACTGCATTCCAGCCAGCCCCTATTGTATCCATCTTCAAGAAGCAATGCGCATTATGAGCAGATGTTCTCATTGCATCAGTCCAGCATCCCATGTTCGCAACCCGTTTGTTCGTTTTCCCCATTTGTTTATAAATAACTAATCAGGAGGCCTAGAACTAGGCTTCCTATTGAAAACTTGCTCAGACTCTACAATACAGCCAGCACATTATTACATCCACAGGGATTTAAATGGGCACAAATAAATAAGTTTGAAACATGTTACAAAATGTCACCACCATAGGTGGTAGCCTTTAATGCAATTATGTGGGGTGGTCGGGGAATTCAAAAGGCATACTTCCCATTTCATTGTTTCTTTTCTTATATTAAGTTCATAACTGACCTCTTTAGCCTGTGCAGACC